GCCCTGGCTGGCAGCGTGACCCAGAGCTGGGGGCTGCCCCACAGAGCTGCCATCTGGGGTGTGTGAGCCCCTCACAGCTCACAGCCCCTGGGAAGGGAGAGCCTGGACACCCTCACAGCTCTCCTGGCAGCTCAGCCCTGGCAGCCTCCTCATCCTGGGGGTGCAGGGAACTGCCTTGGGCTCAGCCTGGGGGGCACAGACACCCCTGGGAGCCTTGGGGGGGCTGTGGCAGAGCAGGGCGACCCCTGAGCTGTGTCAGGCACAGGGTGGGCTTCTTGGGGTGTCCCATGCAGGGCTGGAAATGGGACCGGATGATCCCGATGGGCCCCTTCCAACTCCGGTCACAGCCCACGATCTCCTGGCACTGTGACTCAGGTGTGAGCGGGTGCTGACCTGCCCTGTGCCCCCTCCCAGGTACGGGATCAGCCCGGAGAACATCATCCTGTACGGGCAGAGCATCGGCACCGTGCCCACGGTGGACTTGGCCTCTCGCTACGAGTGCGCGGCCATCGTGCTGCACTCGCCGCTCACCTCCGGCATGCGCGTCGCCTTCCCCGACACCAAGAAGACCTACTGGTTCGATGCCTTCCCCAAGTGAGTGCCCTGGGCAGAGGGGCAGGCGGGGCTGGCTCTGTCCTGGACACCAGCCCTGACCACACCCTTTCCTGTGATGGGCTTAAACTCCCTCTTTGGGACCCTTGAGGGGTCACATAACCCTCCCCGGGGTCACTGTCACTCCCACTGAGAGCTGTGCTTTGTGTGCACCCCAGTCCCCTCTGGCATCACCTCCCGGCCACCCTGTCCCAGTGTCGTTGCCCACCAGTGTTGGGGCTGTTCCACTGGCCCTTTGTTGGGTGTTACAGCTCCTGGGGCCCCTCTGTCCCCCAGGGGTGATTCCTCCGGGGTTTTCCCGCTCTGTGGGCGGCAGGAGCAGTGCCGAGGGACGAGCTCTGCCTTGTCCTCTCCCTTGCAGCCAGGCCAGGGGACGTCCCCGAGGCGGAAGCTGTGCCTGGGCAGCCACCAGCCCACGCTCCGTGTCCCGATGGCCTCGTGTGGCCTTTGTGGCCGAGCTGGGAACAGCAGGGCTGATCTCGGCAGGGGAGGGATGTCCTGCAGCAGTGCTGAGGTTCCCCCGGGGATGTTGTCACTGCTGGCTGCTCCTCATCTGTCACACCAGGGCAGATCTTGTCCTGGGGCTTGTCCTTGGCAGAATTTCCGTGTCCCTCCCTGTCCCTGCGATCAAAGAGCATTTCCTGGTCCCTCTCCCACGGGATGTGCGTGAGGAGGGGGTGAGAGAGGATTGGAAGTGTCAGTCCCCGCACTCACCCCCCCCCCTCCCCTCTCTCCCCCACCCACCCTCTTGGCAGCATCGAGAAGATCTCCAAGATCACCTCTCCCGTCCTCATCATCCACGGCACGGAGGACGAGGTCATCGACTTCTCCCACGGGCTGGCGCTGTTCGAGCGCTGCCCCAAGGCCGTGGAGCCGCTCTGGGTGGACGGGGCCGGGCACAACGACATCGAACTCTACAGCCAGTACCTCGAGCGCCTTCGGAAATTCATCTCCCAGGAGCTGCCCAGCCAGCGCAACTAGGGCGGGGCGGGGGGCTCTGCTGGTCCCCCCCGTGTCCCTCCCCAGCCCCAGGCGCAGTGACTTTGTTCGGGCTCGGCGGCAAGGATGGCGTTTCCTCTGGGACACAAGCACAGCTCTCCCGGTGCCAGCCCTGGCGCTGCTGGCACCTCTGGCACGGCTGGGCAGACGCGGCAGCTCCCTCCTCCTCCCCTTCCCAGAGACACGAGAGCCCCCCCTCCGACGGCGGATCCTTGGCTTCGGACACGTCCCCGTCCCCTCTCCCAGGACAGCGAACCCCGAGCCCCTCCCGGCCGCTCTGCTGCTCTGACATAGCAATAATGCGAGCTGGAGAGGGGCTGGGTGGCACAGCCCCCTCGCCGCTGGCCCAGGGGGCGGGACAGAGGAGGTTCCCACAGTGGCAGTTCCCACTCCACGGAGCTTTCCCGGGACCAGCGCTGGCGGTGCCCGGAGTTCACCCCACGGCCGGGGCAGAGCCGTGTCCCCGCGGGGACGATGGGGATGCACGGAGGAGGTGCCCTCCTGCCCCACACCTCCTCCAGTGTGGCCCTGCTCAGCCTTCCCAGAGCACTCCCAGTGTTCTGGTCACCCCTGGCAAAGCTCCTCGGGGAGCGGGGCGAGGGGCCCGGGCACTGAATAAAGAGCAGAGGTTTAACGTTTGATCTGAGTGTGCCCTTGCCCGGGGTACCCCTGGGGGGCCCTTCCCGGGACCCAGCACCTCCCCTGGAGTGACCTGGGCTGGATCCCCAACCCTTGTCACCCTGCTCTGGGTTCTGGGAGGCCCCAAGGTGTCAATGGGGGGAAGGTGCCCTTGGCCCCCCCCAGGATGGGGCTGCAAGGGTCTCCATAGGGACAATGAGTACCCCTTCCCCTGCCAGCCCCTGTCCCTGTCATTAGGGGATCCCATGGCATCCCAGGGGCAGAGGGAGGATGGTCTCAGCCTCCTGAGAGCTGTGGCATGGGAGACTCTGGTGTGCCACGGGGCCAGGGGGACATCCCCTTGGCTGGCCATGTGCCAGGGCCAGCACAGCGAGGGACACGGGGGGGTCCTGAGGGACACAGGGGTGTCCTGGGGGCAGCAAACCTAAATTTTGACCTCGGTGATCCCTGGCACATGCTGGCCATGGAGGTGTGGGGTGTCCCACGGTGCCCTCCTGCCAGCTGATGGGAGCTTTGCCCCACGCAAGGGCAGAGGCTCAGGTTTGTGCTTTTGGGGTGAACTCCCCTCAGGTTCAAAGTGTCCGTGGGGAATCCCTGGCCCCAGCCCAAACAGCAAAGCTGCTCTGCCCCTTCTCCTGCCCGCGAGGACCCTCGCTGGGCTCCCCAGTGCCAGTTCCCCCCTCCCTGTCCCCCTGGTGTCCCCTCCTCCCCGGCGCGAGGCCGAGGGGCCCGGCCGGCTCATGTGAGGAGGGATAATCTCCTTAGGGAATGCGGGGCCGGCCGGGGGGGCATCGCTGCACCCCCCTCTTGCACTCCTGGCACTCCAAAGCCCCCATTGTTTGGGACTGGGAGCCGGGGGGAGCCCGGGCAGGGGGGCACAGGACCCCTCGCTCCTCACACACCCCTCCCCTCCCCCAGGACCACCACGGGGTGCTCCGGAGGAGGAGGAGGGGAGACCCTTCCTCAGCGCTGGGGCTCTGCAAGAGGATGTGGATGTTTTGGGCTGCCTCTTTTCCCGGGGGGATTTGGGGATCCGGGAGCTGGGATGCCTGACCTCTCCCCCAGCATCCCCCCCAGCCATCCCCTCCCTTCCCCGTCCCATCGGGGTGGTTTGGGAGCTCTGGGCTCACACGTGCTGGAAGCCAAAGCTTGGTCGGGGCTCCCTAATCCCGGCACAGAGCCCTTCTGTTCGCACCCGGGGCATTTTTATCCTCTTACTGCTGCCGCTTTCCTGTCGAGCCGCGGACGCTCCGGCCGGCTCAGCATCGGCGGTGGGACGGCCCGGGGCCGCTGGAGGGGGGGAGGGAAGGGAGCCCCGAGCTCGTGTTTGCTGCCTCTCGGTTTAAAACAAAGGCAAAAGGTCAGGAGCGTTCAGGCCGGGTCCCAAAATTCGGAGCCAGCTCGGGGGTGTGTGGGATCCCAAAGGGGAGGTGGACATCGCTGGGGGTGAACTCCATGGTGGGGAGCCGGGGATGGGATCAGGGATGGGGGCTTTTTGGGTCTGGATCCGTCACTGCTCCCGGTCCAGGAGGGCTCAGGCTCCGTCCTTGCCTGGCCCTGAGCAGCTGGAGCGAGGACGGGGAGAGGGGCACTCACCCCTCCCAGAGCTGCAGGGACCCCAAACGGGGGGAGCTGGGGGTCCTGGTGCAGCAGCCCCCAAGGTGGGGCCAAACTGGGCCACAATCCACTGGGATGGCATTTCTATCCCCACCAGGATAGAACTCCTGTCCTCACTGGGATGGCACTTCTGACCCCTCTGGGATGGCATTTCTGTCCCCTCTGCTGGTGCTGTGGTTGGGGGGCAGGAAGGGGGCTGAGTTGGGTCAGGGTTGGATGGGGTTGGTGCCTGGAGGGGACTCTGCAGGGTCCTTTCCTTGGAGGGTCAGGGCAGAGCCAGGCCTCGAGTGTCCCCACAGTCCTTCCTTAGCAGGGCAGGGCCAGGGCAGGTGTCACCTGGGGCGGTTTGAAGCCCCCCAAGGGGGGCCCAGGGGCCCAGGCCAGGTGTGGGGGACGGTGGGTGACCGGCCAAGAGGGGTTTAAGTCTCTTTTGGGGCATAAATGAGGCTTTTGATGGCCGGGGCCTGCGTGTCATGAGACCCCGTTCAGAGGCCGAGCTCAGTCATGGGATCCAGGAAACTGAATTAAAGCGTCTTAAGGAGCTTTTTTCCGAGCTCTGCTCTGGTTTTCCACGTGCTTGTCATATGAACAAAGACGGTATAAAAGGGCAGAGGGGAAGGATCCCGTCGGTGGTCGGGCTGGGAGAGGGGAGGGCGCCAGAAGGGTGCCAGGGGGAGGGGGAGGTGGAGGGAAGGGGATAGGAGAGGACAAGGAGAGGGGAGCCCCTGGCTCTGCCCTGCCTGGGCAGGGAGGCAGAGGGCTGGGGACAGCAGGGACAGCGGGGACAGGGATGGTGGCAGAGCCAGGGGAGCAGAATCTGTGTCCCCTCTCCTCGAGCAGCACAGAGACCCCGACAGCGGCAGCACCTCCCTGGTGAGACACTGAGGGGGCATCGCGGCACGGGGAGGGGGCACGGGGGGCAGGGAGCACCCAGCACCCTGGGGGGACACCCAGCACCCCGAGGGGACACCCACTGCCCTGGGGGGACACCCAGAACCCTGGAGGGACACCCACAGCCCTGGGGGGACACCCACCACTCTGGGGGGACACCCAACCCTGCACTTCTGGCTGGGAGGGGTCAGGGGTGGGGGCAGAGTGGCCCTGGGGGTCCCTGGGCTGGGTTGGGTCCCAGGAAGGGAGCCTGAGACTGAGAGGGCACCCATAGGATGGACCCCCCAGCTCTGTGCTGTGCACCCACACATGTGTGCACAGACCCCCCCAACATGTGTGCACACACGTGTGTGAGCCTGCAGGCACACACACACACACACACACACACACACACACACAAACCCCACAGTCACTGCCGGGCTGTGGCCCCACTGGCACCTCACTTACCCCCTCCAGGGGCTAGAGGGTCCCCAGGGCTGGTGGGTCCCACCGGGGAGACCTGTGGATGGGTTTTCAGCTCCTGGAGATGTGGGGCAGGCTGGGGATTCCCCGGCTCCCCTTGGATCCCCCAATTCCCTGGGATCCCCCCACTCCCCTGGGATCCCCCAGTTCCTCGGGATCCTGCAGATCCCTGCAATCCCACAGCTCCCTGGGATCCCACATTCCCCTGGGATCCCCCAGTTCCTCAGGATCCTGCAGCTCTCCGGGCTCTTCTGTCCTGCCTTCCCCTCACGTGTCTCCTCCACCCACAGGAGCCCCTCGGAGTGTGGGGCCACAGCCCCCTGCCCCCTGTGAGCTTCCCTTTGTCATCCTATGCCTGAGCGATGCCTGGAGGCTGGGACGGCCAAGGGAGGCCCACGGGCTGCCACAGCCCCGCGGTGATGGAGCCTGGACCAGCACGCTGGGACCCCCCCCCCGAGGGGATGGGACACGAGTCCTGAGGGGCTGGGAGCGCCCCGAGGGGCTGCAGCGTCCCCTTGGGACACCAGGAGCACCCTGGGGGGCTGGGAACATCAGGAAAGCATCCCTGTGGGGTGCCAGCAACACCCTGGGGGGCTGGAGTGTCCTCCTGAGGAACCGGGACATTCGCGGGGGCTGGGGCTGGGCAGGGGGGCAGCAGCCGTGGGTGGGATCGTGGGGTGTCCCCTGGCTGGGGAGGAGTCTCCCACACGGGCCAGGGTGGGTTCCACGTTGGGTGGCACCAGGACGGGGTTCCAGGAGTGGCGGTGTCACCACCCCAGCCAGTCCCCACCCCCGTGCCAGGACACGACCCCGTGTGAGGATGCTGTGGCAGCTCCGGGGGTGCCCCCTGTTCCCCCACCTCCCTGCTTCCTTCTCCAGCTGGAACCTCGTGTGGGGGCCACGCTGGGACGATGGAAAACTGCCCGTGTGGATGCAGGGAAAAATCTGAGACTTGCCCCCCAACACAGCGAGCAGAACCCCCGGGGGGCTCGGGTGTGGAGCTGCAGAGTGAGGAGCAGGGGCGGGGGCTGCGGGGGAGGCTCCGGTCACGGCAGCATCTCCGGCTGGGTTCCATTTCATTTTAGTCTCTTTTCCCCCAAAAAACACTCGCCCCGGCTCACCTGGCTGTGGGTTTGGGGCGGGGTCGGCTGTGGGGGGAGCAGGAGGGGGGGGATGAAGTTCTGGGGAGAGCCAGGGGTGGGTCCTGCTCCAGCAGGAGCATCCCCGGAGCCACATTGCTGGGTTGGATCCTGGGGGTGTGTGGGGGTGCCCAGCACGGCCTGGGGCCACCCCAGCCCCGGGAGGGCGTCCCTGCTGTCACCCAGCAGCAGCGACAGTGTGATGTCACCCCGGCACTGGGGACAGGCCCCCTTTGTCACCCGGCAGCTCCTGCAGGGGTGGCCCGGCGGTGCCATCCCCCTGCCTGGCTCTCCCGGGCAGGGAAGGGACAAACCTGTGTCCCCCACCCTGTCCCACAGGGTGACCCAGGGGTGCTGAGACAGCCCTGCCTCGTGTGCCACGCTCGGTCCCCTCCCGAAATTGGGGATGTGAACCCAGGAGGGGCGGCCTGGGGGGGAACCCTCACCTCTCTGAGAGGGCTCAGGAGCTTTGGGGGGCTGAGCTCAGCTTTGGGGACCACCTGGACGGCTGGGGAGGCTGCAGTGGGTTGGGGGGGATTCCTGTGGGATGGGAGGGTGGGTTTGGATCCAGCAGGAGGGTGAATTTGGGGGTCCCTGCTCTCAGAGGAGCTGCCTTGGGGCTCAGAGGGGCCTTTCCCAGCGCTGCTGACTGGGAGCTGAGTGGGAATCCCAGTCAACCCAGCTGCCCCTTCCCGGGTGGGGAGGCAAAAGCAGAACCAAGATCGCCCTGGATCAGTTTTGGGAAGGTTTTCCATGTTGGTCCTCCAATTTAATTTTATTATTTATTTAATTTTATTATTTATTTCACTTCATTTTTGCCGGTTGGTGACTCGAGGAGGCACGGGGTGAGGATTGAAAGGGAGGGGAACGCCCCGTGTGTCCC